CTTCCCACCATTAATCCCCATTCATATTTTCCCTCCCATTTTCCAACACCCACTTATTATAATTTATCACTCTTAACTCTCACTCCACTATAAATACCCTTCATCCTTCTTTCTCATTTCACAACATTTCTAACCATCTCTACCATTTCCTCTCCTACACCCATATTTTCTACCTTTTCCCTTCTTCAACCCATATCCATCTATGGCTCCACGAAACAACCAAAGACAAGTTAAGCCCGACCGACCACCACCCGACCTATCCAATATCATTTTCCGCGATAACGACGACGGCCAACAACAACAAAAGTATAAAAAAATTTATACCCGTTCCGTCGTTCCTACAAAATACGTAAGTTCGGAGTGTTTGGAAACCTTAGGAATGACCGATATCATCGTATTCATGCTCAATAACACCGGTTAACCAGTCTCTGCACAAACTCATGTCCAACCTATGAACCACTCGTGCTTGAATTTCTTAGTTCCTTCTCTTACACAACACCTGTCGACGGTCCCTACACAACCGGAACCGCCAACTTCCGCATGTTTAACCAAGAGTACTCTCTTGATCAAGAAAGAGTCGTTGAACTCTTATCTTTCACTCGCGGCAAGCATGTTCATTACAAGCCTTTCTACGATGACCACGATCTTTCTTGGGATCAAGTCGGCTTCTCCTTATAGAATGATCTAACCGGTCAAACCACAGAAAGTTGGCGCGACCTTTATGCTTCTCAAATACATAACCCTGCATTAAGGTACTTTCACCGCGTTCTTGCTAACACCATCTTTGGTCGGACCAATAATCACAAGGTCAACCAAAATGAGCTGTTCATCATTTTCTGTGCCCTTAATGGTCAGGCTGTCAATGTCGCTCCTTTCATGCTCAGTCACATCCACACATGCGTGAACGCAGCAGGTACTAATCCCTTTGTTTTTGGAGGCATCATCACATCTTTAGCATATGCTTTAGGCCTTTCCGCCGAGCTATTTTCTTTGTTACAATATATGATGCCAGCCACTCTTCTTGATGTCATCTATTGCCGAGATTCCCATATAATCTCTCCAAGACATGATGGCCGGTTTACATTAGTGATAAATCGTCGTCAAATTCCTGATTTTGTGTTACCTTGTCCGAATCGTATCGACGTCCGAGTCCGCGCCAATTGGCGTTATGCTCTTGATGCACCTGCCGCCCAACAACCAAATAATCCCGCTGCAAATTTCGCAGCTATGCAGGCTCATATGCTTCGTCAAGATCAGTTGTTCCATGCCATGCAACAAAACCAAGCTGAGACTTTACGTGTCGTACAAGAAGTACAACGTGACCAACTAGAGTTGCAACGCCACCAACAAGAGATGCGACGCGAACAACAAGAATATGCCTTTCGCCATGATTGTAACCTCGAATCTTTGCAAGCTCGCATAGCAGACGCACTTCATCTTAATGATTCTGATTCTGACGTACGACGAAGACCTCGTACTAGAGGACGAAGAACAAGAGATCATGATTCTCAAAGCAACGAGTGATCGCCTTTCTCTTTTCATCTGATTCTCCTTTGTTTTTATCGCATTGAGGACATTGCTCCTTTTTAGTATAGGGGAGTTAGATCATTTCCTTGTTCATTTCTATTTCCTTTGCTCTCTTTGTAGTATTTTTCCTTTTATTTCTTTTCTTGTATTGCAAAATTTCAATTCAATAAAATACTTATTTATGCAAATTTTAATCTCTTATGCAAAAATTTGTGCTTACTCGAATTCCCCCTATTTCTTGAGCCATAACGAATAAAATAAAACAATTTTAACACATATTTATAAACATTATTCAACTAGTATTAAGGTTTCCTATTATAAATAAGAATTCGAGCAACTTAGCAAAATTGCTATCGTCTTAACACTTCAAAACCCCCGATGTGTTGGATCGATTTAAGTACTTATTATACCAAAACCTTTAAAACTTAGTTTTAGATTAGCCTCGAGTAGTTTATTATGCAGTCGGCACCGCTATAAACACAAACTACGTGGAGAGCTGATGAATATAAGTGATTGATCAAATATTCTTAAGAAATTGCTTTTATCTGAAGATGCACTTATTAAGTTAGATGGTCCTTACCAGATCATTTAATCCAACAGTTGCAGAAACTATAAATTTAAATGCAAAATAATCCATTATAAATTGGTTCAGTGGTCCCTGGTGCTGAACTTGGTAGGGCGAATTACGGTTCGATCCCCCGCAATTTTTAATTGGAAAAAGGGAGTACCATATGATTAAATTACCAGAACTCCTAGCTGGCTTACTAAGATCAAATTCACTAACCAGTTACTCCACTATGTGCGTGTAAGGTAAAAGGCTTAATGTGATTGCACTAGAATGAAAACGGGTGAAATAAAACGTAGTATTAGGTTAAGCTATAATGACATGACTTAAATTGGTCTGCTTAAATGGGGTTGTCCAGTGTTCCTACGGTAACTTTGGTGTTTAAGTTCGACTTAAATTCTCTAACGAAAAATTCAACTTGCAACCTGGTACGAAGTGATGTATGTTCTTATATCTGTGTTTAACTGTGCGTCAGTGATTTTCATTTTTTTTTTTTTACTTTTGCTTGAGGACAAGCAACGGTTCAAGTATAGGGGAGTTTGATAACACAATTTTATATAGTATATTTGATTTAATTTTCATAAATAATGTTAGTATTTTTATTTAATTATTTCATTTTATTTCCATATTACGCCGGTATTTTTATTGTGCCAGGTATTTTATTTTAATTAGACAAATTGAGCAAAGTGAAGAAATTAAGAGAGTTATTGGACTAAATATGCAAGAAATGAAGAAAAGGGGTGTGCAAAGCAAAAATGATGGATCAAAAGGTTTATTATCTCCAAACTGGGCCCAAACGAAATCAGGCCCACGCAAGCAAGAGAGCCCTAAAGGCACGTGCAAGAGTGAGACGCACGTCTCAACTCCTCTCCTACAATTGAGGTGCCCGCCTCGGACCCTCCCCTTAGTGGGAGGCGTCCGTCTCAACTGCCACATAGGCCCTAGGATGATACATGAGGCGCCCGTCTCAACGTGGTCAAGTGGATGAGTAAATCTCGCGACGACCACCTCCACTCAAAGCAGTTAGAACGAGAAATTTGGGGAAAAGTGGTACGGAACGACCACCTTCACTCAAAGCAGTTAGAACGAGAAATTTGGGGAAAAGTGGTACGGAAAATATCTCAAAACGTGGTTAGATTCTACCACTATAAAAGGACATCAGGAAATCAAAACCGGGGGCCGTTTTTAGCATTATTTTTCCAGTTTCACAATTTACCTTCCCGCATTATTATTTTCCATTGTAATTCAGTTTCCAGCAGTTATTTTCCAGCCAGTTCCTTTTCAAATACTTAAATTTTATTTCTGTTGAAGAACCGGGATTTTGTACGAATTGATTCAAGCTTCAAGAATTATTTCCAGCATTTATTTAATTCAGGTTTCTTATTTACATCGCTTTAATTTATTTAATTAATTATTTGCATGAGAGATATTTATTTAGCCATGAATTTATTTACGAATGTTAATTCCTTTAATGTATTCATGTCTGCTTTTATGAGTATGTCTGGCTAAATTATTTAAATATCGGTATGTAACGAGTTAATTTGAATGGATCCGGAACAAACAGGCTTGATTATATTTTATAAAATAAACAATTTTTCTGATTTAGTTATCTAATTTATTTTGTTAAAAAAGGTTTAGAAACCAACAGAGCGAAAGTTTGAGGCTAATAAACTGACTAAGATTAGAAACCAATAGAGCGACAGTTTGAGGTTTAAAATCAGATAGTAGATACTAGGTATTGTTTTTAAAGACTGCGACAGCGTTTTAAAATCAATTAAACTTTATTTATTTTCAAAAAGTAATTTTAAAATCAATGGGATAGCGAAAGCATACATCAGAGTTTAAAATTATAGTTTACTTCAATAGAACGAAAGTTTGAGAATAGATTTTTGAATAAATACTTTTTGCTGAAAAATATATTATTATCATTTTTAGAAAATAAGCCAGTGAAAAGCCAGATTCTTTAATGTTAACGAAGTACATACCGATATTCGCATTATTATTATTTCAATTAGAATTAAGTTTTATTACTCAAAAATTCCCCTAATTAATTATTCGATGGCTATAGCTTTACACAGTAGTTTAGGTTAAGTTAGTTCAATTTATAGTCCCTTAGGTTCGATATCTTTTAAAACTATGCGATAGGGCTGTATACTTGCAGTCTCCCGATTAATTTAGACGATAAAGTCGCGATCACTTTGCTCGATACAATAACCTTTATCATCAAAGGGAGTTATATATAGCCAAACCATGATTCTTGATTTTGAATACCTCTAGTTTTTCTGGTCTTCAGGCAAACACCATACAACATAAACCAGCCCGCAAATAATAATCAAAAACCTGCTAGCAGAAGGAGGAAAGAAGCTAAGTCAGAAACAAGTTTCTAGTTGCAGCCTTCATTATATCAAAAACAAAAGCAGAAGTCAGAACAAGTTTCTAGTTGCAGCCTTCATTATATCAAAAACAAAAGCAGAAGTCAGACTAGTAGAAAAGCCGAATTAAAATCAGAAGATAAGAAGTTAAAAACATTATAACTCACATAACCAAATTCATCTCTAGCGTAACTAACTTTCATAAACGAAAATAATTGAAAAAATAACAGAATTTTGACTTCCCTAACTACCTCATCTCAGCCCTTCAATCCTTAACAACCTCTACTCAAATCCAAAGGCTCAGATTACTCCTCACCCAACTGTTTCTCGAACTCAGCCACCTATATAAATCAAACTCCCTCCAAATTTTCAGTTTACGCACAACCATCTCTCCTCCATTTTCTCAGTCTCAGATTCTTCATCTCATTCCTCCCACCTTCACGATTCATCTTACAAATCACCAGAAAAATATTCACTCTCGTCTCTCTGAGTTATCTGCACTCTTTCTGCATCCTCAAGGTTTAGCAGCAACTTCACTACTTCAATCGTCTTCCATCTTCAACCTTCACCTTCCTTGCTAATACATCTACCCACGCTTCTTTGTATCCATAACAACTGCACGACAAGAACAACAACACACGCATCACAACAATTTGAATCGCGAAAATGGAAAAGAGTATAAGAGGAAAGAAGAAGCAGAACGAGCAAGGAGTAACGTAATAGTAAGAATCGGAAGGGATGCATATCTGAGTTTAGAAGCTCTCTCTGATTTTCTCTCATTAACATCATCGTCAAAGTCGCATCGGACGAACTCCCATAAGTAGGCTTCCAATTTCTCCTTTCCGTGCATCATTTTGTGTGATTAATTACTTGAATACTTGTATGAGTATTTGCGATCTTTAACCAGAAATTTGGTAGCCTCGAATCTTCATCATCTGTGTGCAATTCCAAACTTATATTCCTAGGTTTTCCTCCTCCGGATGCGATAGATCTAAGAAAACGACTCAGAGGTTGGGAAAGGTGATGCTGATACGAAATCCTTTATGGTTGTGATCAGCGATTCTAGGCGATAAGAAGGGTGGATACGATGGGGATTCGTTGGAAATGAAGAAGACGAAGATCGACGGAGGTTGTGAGAAGAGAATCAGAGATGGATGAGAGTTTAAGGTTGCGGCGGTGGAGCATTGAAGGCGACGACGAAGAAGAGGTTTTATTTGAGCGGCCATTTGAGAAGAGATCGGATGTAGAAGAGGTTTCGATGGTGGTGGTGTTTAAGCCGCCGTTTGCGGTGTTGAGTTTTGAGAGGAGGAAGAGCCCTGTGTTGAGAATCTCAAAAGTCGTATAACATTTGAACCTGAAGTCCTCTTTGCATGTTTCTTTTATTATATTATTTTCTTTCTATTTAATAATAAAATCTGATTTAGAAGATGAAACAATAAACTGGAATTGGACTTATAGTAATAATAGACTTGACTTGCTAATACCCTGAGCTACAGATTGAACTGCTAGCGCCATATCCCATATAGGCCCATACATCACTTTTTGGACATGCTGAAGGCCATTGGACCAAAAACTCTCCTGGAATCTTTCTAATGGGCCTTTGTGCCTGATTACGGAACTTATACCTCAGTACCCAAATTGCACACCCCCTGACTCTCTTATTTTCTTTTCATAATTGTTTTAGTTTTAATTTTTCCTTTCATAATTTTTTATAACAAAAATAGATAATAAAAATGGTAAAAATATTAGAAGACATTTTAGAAATTAATTAGGGATTTATTTTCCTCTTTGCTAATTTTTAAGTCAATTTTAATCACTAGTTTTATTCATTTTATGTCATGTATTCGTTTGTGATTTTAGGTATTATTTTGGTATGGATTATATGCAATACTTTAATACTTGTTTCCTGATTTTACTTGCTTGTATGTTCTTTTATGATCCCTTAGGTTATTTTGGTTCAAATTTAATCTTTGATTAAATTGAACTATAATTAGTCATTAGGCTTTTAAATTCAAGCATGCTAACATTAGGTAGAATTCTCTCTCAATCACAGCTTTAGGTCCATGATGCATTATAACATTAAGAATAGAATCTCCCTTAGATTTTTCATTCCTCTTTTGCATTCTTAAAAACTAAAACTTCTTTTTTCTTTCAAACCTAAAACACTTAATAAATAAATGATGAGAACCACACTTCCACGAGTCCTAAGCAATGGAAATGATATGCGGGTTTCTTCTCGACCTTATCATTCTTTCATTCTTAGTATTTTGTGTGGTTCAAATCTCAATAATCTTTTCATTAATAAGTGGAGAAATGGTTAATATATATATATATATATATATATATATATATATATATATATATATATATATATATATATATATATATATATATATATCTTGAGGTTAATTATCTATTATTCACAATAAAAATATAAACCAATCAAATGTGACATCTTTGCCTTAAGGGCATAACTCAAAATCGTTTCAAATGGGTACGTCACCCATAAGAAACAAAAACAAACAGAACTTTTAAGCTGAACTACGACACTCTGATTCCTTTAAAAGGATACATAGGCATTAGGTTGCAGGGCCTAAGCAAGCAGAACTATTTAAAACCTTTGTTTTCTCTATATTTTTTTCAATTCATGCATTCCCTTAACAAGTAAGCATTAGATATAACACACCCTTTGATTATAACAACAATAGTGGATCCGATGGAGTACCATGATGTTGTGTAAAATCAAATGAAAGTATTGTTTTATCGTATCCACGGGGATTGGAGAGATATCAAAACCGTTCAACAATTTCTATATTTCTAAGCATAAGTTTCAAGATTTTTATGGTTTGTAAGTACAAAAATTAAATGCGTAAACTAACTAAAGATAAAATTTAGATGAATAGACTTGTTGGGAATTGGTTTTCATCCACTGATTTAATATGTACTTCTCAAATCAGTTATATACAATTTAAGCTCGTTTTATTATCATCATGCATCGCATACAAATAGAGTTTATCTCTAAACTTTAATGATAATTCTACCTTATAGTTTGATCGATGATTTATCAGCCTATTAAACAATACAGTAGTATTACGATTCAATACTTTTAGTTGATATTAAACCTAAATCTATGTCTAGAATTTATAGTTTAATAGTTGTTATCTTGGATCAATATTATAATCGTATTTGTAAATATCAATTCAATCCATGAAATAAACAGTAAAACAAAGATAACAACGATAATGATTCAAACATAAATTGCATATAACGCCAAGATTAAAGAAAATACATATTGTTTTGATAAACTATAAACAATCCCAACAAGAGAGGGATTTAGCTACTCATGGTAGCTTGAAGCACAAATGGAGAATTGAGTTGAGACGACATCAACGATGATTTCCCGACTCTTAGTGTGAATCCACATCATTCTCCTTACAACTTTCTTTACAAATATTCGACTGATATTAGAGAGTGTATTCTCAAGTATTACTATGATAAAAACTGCAATGGAATGACTATGTTGAGTTCTGGTCTATTTATAACAGTTATGTCCTTCTAAGTTCGCTAAGCAAACTATACTTTTCTAAGCGAACTCTTACTTCTTCATTAAGATTTCAAATCAACTTGTCTTCTAGAAATCGCCAAAGTTTTCTAAGCAAGGTAAGGCTCGCATAACGAAGTTACTTTCTTTATCCTGAAGTCTTCTTAAAATATCTTTCTTTGATCGCCCTATTTCGCTAAGCGAATGCTTGATTCGCTAAGCAAAATGCCTCACTTCTCCTTACTGCTGGCAAAATTGGTTGATTTGCTTTTGTCTTGGTTTCGTACGCGAACTGTGACTCGCTAAGCAAATTGTTCTTTTCACTACATCTTTGCTTAACAAAGTGTCTGCTGCAGGATTTTGATCCTTATGTATTGACTTCGTTGGGAGTTTGCTACAGCACGCTTAGCGAAGTGTCTGATAGCTGGTTTTTTCTTTGGGGACCAAATCTTGCACAAAACAAACAAAGCCAAGTAGACTTGCACAATAACACTACTATTCAATAGTTGAGGTTTTTATGTTATAATCTTTTCATTTAATTAAGATAAATGATATGTTTTAATAGGATATTTTAACATAAATTAAGCATTTATCAAACTCTCCTCAACTTGAATTTTTGTTTGTCCTCAATCAAAGTAAAAAGCAAGAGTTTCTATATCAACTTTTACAAGATCAACAAAAAATTTCAATGAAGTAGTCAAGGCACATGGTTTTTGAGGTTGCACATCCAAGTGTTGATGCATTATTACTTTCTTTATCATTTTAGACATATTCATGAAACAAGTCTTCCACATAAAGTTCATGTCAAGCAATCCAAAGAAATAAACATGTTAGTCATGAATCACACTTATCACACTTTTGTATAAGTGAAAATGATGAGGTATTTTCATCTCTCACATGAAAAAACTTGCTAACATCTTTATTGATTCGTGCATTCATCTAAGAAAAATATATTGACATGTAAAGACAAAGATCACTAATGCCTTTTCATGGTTGTAGATAAGGTACCAAATAAGTGTTATTTTCTATGGCTAATGGAAACAAAGAGTTTGTTTGATTTTTCTTTGAAGTGCATTCATGAACTTTTGATTCTTTTGTCTCAAATTACTTATCCAAACCTCTTATTGTTTCTGTATTTTTAAACACATTCATCTTTTCTATTCCTTGTTCTTTTCTTTTCTCACTTTTATTTCATTTTATTTTGATTCTTACCACTTTCCATATTTTCTTTTGAATTGAACATTTTTATTTTCCTCCCCAACTTGAACAAAACTTTACTTCTCTTTAAATGCTCTTCAAAAATTTGCACAAGATATTAATGGTTTCGAGGTTCAACACAAGAAAAATAGAATCTATCAATTATGGACTTTTATGATTTTTCAAAGATATGGAATAACATTCACTAAGTGGTTTACTTAATGCACTACTCAGTTCATAATTGATGTATTCATGTCATATGGCTCAAAAAGTGGTTGCAAATGATCACTTACTCACAAGGACTAATGAAGCTATATTTTGGTTTACTAGTTATGCTAAAATTCAAATAAATGCCTTGATCCCTTCAATGTATTTACAATGATCAACATAAATGCAAGATTAAGCATGAATTGAATGAGTTAAAACAAGAACTTGTCAATTTCCTAAGCATATGGTGAACAATGGAAGATTACCTCACTTTTCTGGTTTAGAACTTAGTGATTCGTAAGGAAACATATCATGGCATAGGATTGAATAAACTGATTTTGTGTAAATTACTCATGCTCATGCTCATGCTAAAGGCTTTAAGAAAGCAATAAACACTTACCTTGGTTTGTGCAACTCTTTCAAAGTTATATCGTTTTCTCCTTGTACCTTTGATTCATGTGAATTTTGATCTTCCACTCCTTGCCCTTCAATATCATTTCAGAGGACAAAAGAGTAAACAAGGCTTTAGGATTTAGGCATAGGGCACTTACAGCTAAATACTTAAACTAAACACAACAAAACTTGAGAGTGAAGAAACTGGCATGATTAGCATTTTTGCTGATTCTGCTATGTTCGCTTAGCGAGAACATGGCTTTCTTAGAGAATTAAGACAAAAATGAGCTTCGCTTAGCAAAATAGGGCTTCGCTTAGCGAACCCTGTAGAGTTCAGTTTTGCAGAATTTTTTTAGCTCATATCATACCATTTTCTTCCTACTAATTGACTAATTGTGAAATATAAATAACATAAATATGTAAAAGGTTGGGTTACCTCCCAACAAATGCTTGTTTAACGCCATTAGCTCGATGCCTGTTTCAAATAAACTTACAGTGGTTTGTATGAATCCATTAACACGTCCTTACCACCATTATTTGGCCTTTATTTGTCATTTTTTCTCTTTGATTCTAGGCCTCTTTCTTAGGATATTTAACTTTGGTGAATTCACCCTCTTTATTTTGCAATGCTTGAAACAATTTGAAGTTTACCTCCTCATTTTTGCACCTCACTTTCATCATTCCTTCATAGAAATTGATCATCATTCGAGAGGCTTTTATGAATAGACGACCTAAAATTAGAGGTATGTTGTCTTCTTCATCCATATCCATCACCACAAAATCAGTTGGAAACATAAAAGTTTCAAGTTTCACCATTACGTCTATTACTATGCCAACTAGTTCTGCGATGGATTTGTCAGCAAGTTGCAACTTCATTGTTGTTGGTTTCAAATCAAGCTTACCAATATTTTTGAGAATGGATAATAGAAAAAAGTTGGTGCTTGATCCAATATCAACCAAGGCTTTATCAAACTTGATGTTTTCAATGATGACTGATAATGTAACGCTTCCAGGATCAATTTTGAGGTTTTCCATTTTTCTCATTTTCAACTCTCTTTTCTTTGCCACTCTCCCCAAATTTTGTTTCAGTCACGTGTTCAATCTTTGTTGTAATGGAACTGCGAGTTTCTTTTGGATTGGCTTGAGTGGTTGCGGTGAAAGTTCTCGTTTGTTGCTCACTCAATTGTTTTGCAATTTGCCCAACTTATGTTTCCAAATTCCTGATTGAAGCATCAATGTTTTTCTAATTTTCTATGGACAACTGCGTGAATTTATTCAAGGTATCCTCTAATTTGGAAAGCTTGTCAGCTTGAGTGTAACTTTGGTACTGATTCTGCCTGTTTTGGCCATAGCTTGCATTGTTGTTATATGGATAACCTTGATTGTTCTGGTATAGAACCTACCTTTGATGTTGTTGATTTCCCATAGTTGACTTCTTCATTGATTGGAGGACAAAATCCAGTTAGATGATCACCTATACATAGTTCACAGAGAGCCACTTGTTGCAGTTTAAGTGTTTCGTGCATCTGTTTGAGCTGTTGTGGAAGATTTGAAAGTTGCTTTGCTAATTTTCCACAATTTGAGTAAGAAGTTTGTTTTGTGACAAGATCACATCATTCATATCCAACTCAAGAATTTCATATTTCTTTGGTGTTGTACCTCTGTTGTATTGTACTTGATGATTATTGAGAGCCATATGGTTGATAATAGACACTGCTTCTTCTACGCTTTTGGATAGTAAGGAACCACCAAATGTTGCGTCAACTAGAAGTTTTGGTTGAGGTTGAAGTCCATTACATAACACATGAATCTGCGTGAGATTATCGAAACCATGTGTGATACGGTGGCCAGAATCGGGACGTGTTTCCTTTTTTAGGAATTGCCGGTTTGCGTCTTACGTTTGTGTTTGCAAAATGTTGCGGTAAGTAAGAGTCGCCACCGGCTTTTATTTTATCCAACAAGGAAAGGAAAAAAGCACAGAAAAATTCCTTTTTTGAGATATTTCTGAGTACGGGGGGTAGATTATAGAAAGGGAAGGTATTAACACCCTTTCTATCTGTAGTTATCTACGGGCTCTTAGGTACTTGCTCATCATTTTCAAAATTGTTTTCTTTGTGTTTGTCTGATTTGAAAAGCTTTTGTTTTGACTTCTATTTAACTATTGCTTCTGTCTTCAAGAGTGTAATGAAGTGTTTTTGAAAACTTTGTTTGTAAAAGAGTGTAAGTGTGAAAAAGGTTTGTTTTGTTTGAGCAAGTACTTAAGAGCTAATCTGCCTACTATAAAAAAGAATCGTTCTATGCTTTTTTCCTTTAGACAATGTTATCCCACTATTAATGAGTAGGTAGCACCGTCGTTGGAGTTTTGAGGGTCAATTTGAAAGGGACGTACGGTCACTAAAGCAATGTTAGGACGTCTAGTAATAACCCTAATGTCTTAGATCAATTATCCGAGGCAACAATTCTGAGGCAAAAATTTCGAGGCAACTTTGATCTTTGGACAAAAGGACGACCACTAAAACATCCTATACTCAATGACCGTATACCAAAGGCAACCAAGTGGGAGTGTACCCTAGGAGTGCGCATGTGCGAGTGATTCAGTTTCAGATTATTTATCTTTGCACATTTTAAGTTTATCTAACTGTTTTAAAGTTTATCATACATTATTGTCATGCAAACCCTAATTATTCATACATCTAACAGTTTGATATTTTGCGGAATTTAAAATGCGGAAATTAAACTACGCTATTACAAGGCTTCAGGTATTTACATAGCCAAAAACAAACCCTTTGAAAATAAAGCGATAAAAGTAAAGACCTAATTAACTATTACAACTAAATTGAAAGACAAGTAAAAAGTAAAAATAAAGAAGAGAAAAGACTTCTTCGATCCATGCCATGGACTCGTTCGGTTCACCTTTCTTTGGCCTTCTTTCGATTGAGCTAGGGAATGGGTGTGAGTAGCCTTCGATTGGGCTTGAGAATTGACGGGGCAAGCTTTGATTTGCACCCTTTCCTGCCTCCTTCGATTGGGTTTGGGAAGGATATGGGTAGACTTCAATTGCAGGGAGAAAGGGGGGCTTCAATTCAGAGGAAGAAGGCTGCCTTTCGATTCTATGAAGGGTGTTGCTGGAAAGGCCTGAAGGATCACCTGTGGAGGCGCTGCATCTGTAAAAATATGTTAGCAAAATAAAACACATGACCTGGGTATCGAAACCCAGGTCCTTCAATCATGCGCGCGCTGGGTCTTTTCAAGCTATATCTGTAGCAAGTGTTAGCAACAAAACAACATGACCTGGGTGCCAAACCCAAGCCCTTTGATTCTGTCTAGAATGTGTTGCACCCCAAAATTTGCCCTCCCATATTCTTCAAGAAATTGCCAAGCCAAGTCACAAAACTCCCCAAGGGTTGCACAGTCCAACTGTCTCCTATACAGTCAAAACTAGGGTTTAGGTTCTGATCAAGAAAATGAAGTTTTCAAAGGCCCAATCAAGTCTCACATGCCTACAAATGTGGTCAAGCATCCTCATATCAAGTTTCAAGGCATTCAGCTCAAAATTGCACAGTCAAAACCCTAAATTGCACTGCAGTCAACTGTAGGGGCAAAATGGTCATTTGACAGTCAAAAGTTCAAATTTTTGGTCAACATATCATTTTGAAGCCACAAACATCATTTGATCAATGCTTGATCATGATTCTCAAAATTTGGCTCA